TGGTGGTAGTTTTTCTTATCTTCACGACGAGACATAGTTGAAGTTGAGATAAAAAAGTCAGAAATACATCGAAAACTAATATTTCTCTTCTGATCAAACGACCTATTGATGATCATTAAGGAGTTCAACGTAATTAACGTCACGCCATAGATAAATGGTTGAATAATATATGGATGGAATGATTACTTTGGGGAAAATCAATTGATGTATGGAAAAAATATCATATTCTCGTTAGGAACCTGATCTGCCATATTTCCTCGAATGACAATGTTCATAGAAAGTGGAAATCTTTATTCCGAATGCAGGCTCACTTTTTTGAATAAAATTTACGAAAAAAATATTGAACTAATGAAAAATTAGTAAAAAAACATCTGAGGCCAATAGGAAATTACACATTCATTTGCATGTCGAGCTTCCGTTTTGAGGTGAAAAAAGCGAATTTATCAGAAAATGTTTCGTATAGAAGTTTCAGACATCAATGCATTGGGGGTGTAAAATTATTTATCAGTATGAAGGGTGCCAAGTAGGAGCTTGTAGAATAAAAGTTTTTTCAATGAAATACTGTATATTGGTTTCCATAAGTTATGCTAAAAATGTCAATGAGCCAAATATGTTTTGTTATGAGGATATTTTTAAACATTGTTTTAGATGATGATTTGAATAGAATATTTCTCTGATACTGATTGTATCCGAGTTATACACAAACTTCGGGAGAAGGAATATTGAGAGCAGATAGTTGTTGGTTCACAGATGAATCAAAAACACCTTCCGGATCTGGTGCAGGTGTTTTCAGTCGCAGACCCAGGACAGAGATATCAACCTGCCTAGGAACCTATGCGACTGTATTTTAAGAGAAAATTTACGCTATTGAACTGTGTGCGGAGTCAATAAGAATATTCTCGGACCCTCAAGTGGCATTGGGAGCTCTTGCTGCCCAGCAACGTCTAAATTGGTAGCAAATTGCCAAAAACGACTGTCTTCGATAGGAAGACTTAACAGATTGTCTCTGGTCTGGATTCCTGGCCATACTGGCCTGGAAGGCAATGAGGTTGCTGACTCCCTTGAAAAAGAGGGTGCTGCAAGCAGCTTCATCGGACCAGAACATGTCATTGGCATCACTTTAGGCTTTGCCAAACAAACATTGAACACCTAGATGACAAAAAGATTAATAGACTTCTAGTACAATCTTCCAGGATTGGCTCACTCCAAGGCGTTTATTTACCCTTCGAAGCTTGATACCACACAGTTGTTGGACAACAGTAGGGATGAACTACGATGTCTAACAGACCTTCTTGAAAGTCACTGTCATTTGAATCATTATATGCAGAGACTCGGATTGTTGGAAGACAGTGTGTTTCGCCTCTATTTAGGAAATGATGACAGCAGAGCACATACTTTGTGCCTGCCCCGCTGGGGACCGAATCAGGATTTTAGAGTTCGGCAGAGCCGTACTCTTACCATCTGACCCGAAAGACCATACAAACTAATCGGCTTCCTTAAGAAGCTGGGTTCATTTGATCGAGTGTGAGTGGGTGTGAGCCACAATAAACCCTTACGGGGTGCGGTGGAGGATCGAATAGACCCTCTCACTTTGGACCTAACCTTAGCCATACACAAACTTTCAATATTTTCATGGTACTATCAATGCCGTACCAACCTAGTACGCGATGTGAGTTCTTATATTATTTCCATCAGAGGGTATTCAATTTTTTCAAGTTTCATTGTTCAATGACAGTCTCTACATTATGCCATTATTTTTCGGGTAGTAGTCTGTAAGTTTCATACCCTACGACTGTGGTAGTCATTATCTAAGGTCATGAGGTAACGGAAGAGGTGATTCAGTTATCCTCACAGCAAATACCTACTACATTATCTCCCACGATTGCCATCGTCATTTAATTCAGAATGGAGCCTAACTCCCCTATCTTTTAAATGCGTTGCTCGTCAGGTAGACAAACGAAACACAACTCGTCTTAGTGTAGGGGCCTTCTATATCGGGAGCGGTCGTCTACAGTATAGTCTGTAGCTACTGAGAACTCGCCAATTCCTCGACAGAATGGATAGCTGCAAATCTCTGCAAATGGCTTCATTCCGCACGAACCATGGAGCATTCACTATCATCCGTATTAACTTGTTTTGTAATATCTCAGACGTGGAAATATTCATCGGAAGAGTGGGTCCCCAGAAGCATACATGATGACAGGCTTTAACATAGTGGTGGGAATTAAAACGTTGTATTTGACGTCGAGTTTGGACTAACGTGTAATCAGAGGGTACAGATTTGTAATCCGTCCCTGTATTCTGATTCTTATATTTTTGATGCATGATCCAGGTGAGCCTATGGTCTACCAAAAAACCGAGGTACTTCACCCGGGGTCGTGGGCGTGGCAATAGTGATTCGTGCTCAATCAAGTCAGGTAAATGATTTCCTTTTCTTTTAGATTGGAATTGTTTCTGCGTTTCTATCGCATAGTAGCTCTGAGTTCTAACGAGCACTTGGATCTCTTCAAATTTACAATCTGTTGATGTGTCTCTAGTAACAATTTCTTTTATGTGTAGAGAGCCAGCTACTTTTCGTGGTTCCAATATAGACCGATCTACAACTACAATTGATCCGGTATACTCCATGTTGCTGAAGGTTGCTGGCAGAGAGCCAGTTACTTTTCGTGGTTCCAATGTAGACTGATCCACAGCTACAAGTGATTCAGTATACCCCGTATTACTGAAGGTCTTGAAGGTCCTTAGGTAACCTTAGACTCCTTCTGAATACTGACTTCACGTTGGCTCAGCGTTAGGACAGGAACGTTTTTTCATTTTCCGGGCCTATACCTTCGTAGTTCCGGTTACTTTTCGTGGATCCAATATAGACTAATCCACAGCTACAACAAGACAAGTGATCTGGTATACCTCGTATTACTGAAGGTGTTTGGTGGTCCTTAGCTGTCCTTAGACCTTCTCTGAATACTGAATTAACGTTGAGTCGGAGTTAGAAGAGGAAAGTGTTTCCATTGACAACCCTATTTGGAGTTATCCCTGCATCCTCTTTCCTGAGTCGTAATGCCCGCTCGGAATTGGTTCCACTATACTCATTTCTTCTCAAGTTATTTTTAGATGATTGAGATCTTTGCGGATATTCTCAGGTTCAGAGATGCTTTAGATTTTTTCAGCTGAAGTTTTAATTGAACCTCTTTTTGTGTCGTAGCCGGTAGTTGACGATTTTTTCAGATACCTATCTCTGTGACCCGAAATCCCTTCTTGATGTCTTTTCACAAGTATATCCAAGAAGGTGGTGACATCTTCACCTACAAAGACGAAACTATGGGATCAACAGAAGACTCAATTCTCGAATATCAAAGGCAACTCCCCAAGGGCCCTCCAAGACACATCAAGTTTCGATATCCAACTCTTACTGTCAATCCACGTCCACTGTCAATCAAATAGATGGCAAACACGTCATCTAGGTGATTGACAGTGTACTCATTCTTCGAATATCAGAAATAACGTTACTGTTCAAGGCGTTCAGTTGCGAAGCCCAAGTTCGATATTGATCGTCGAACGAGAATCGTTCCCTGTCTTTTACTGCAACTTTTGCTGCAAGGTAACTAGATAAAGTTGTGATCCACCACCAGACAGCGCTGTTTCGAACCTCCTCATCAGTGGTACTAGGCTAAATTACCCAACTATCTAGAGAAGAAGAAGCCTGAAATTGAAGTTGATGAGATAGTACATAGACTGAAAAGTCTGTGGGTTATTGTGCTAAGACTGACACTACCATTGTTATTTTCTAAACATTACTATTGTTATGGGTCAAAAACAATTTCGTGTTTAAATTTCACCCTGCTTCTTGGTGTTTAAGCGAAGCAATGGCTTGAAGAGTGTTATAAGGACTCTGCTCCATCAGAAACAACAATTAAACGTTGGTTTGCTGACTTCAAAGATAAAAAATCCATAAAATCGTTTTGAATGATTAAAAAGTGAAGTTTCATGAGTTAGGTGACATTATTGAGATATCAAGAGAACGTGTTGGCTTTATATTGCATGGACATTTGACCATGACAAAGCTCTGTTCGAAGTAGGTGCCGCGCGAGCTTATTGTTGACCAAAAACAAGAACGTTTAGATGTTTCTGAGCAGTGTTTGGCCATATTTCAACAAAACACACCGGAATTTTCGCGTCGATATGTGACAATGGATGGAACATGGATCTATCACTTCACTCTGGAATCAAAACGATCGTCATCTGAGTGGAGAGTAACTAATAAACCTCGTACAAAGCGCACGAAAGCACAGCAGTCGGCTGTAAAGGTTTTGGCCTCGGTTTTTTGGGATGTGCGTAGTGTAACAACCATTGACTTTTTCGAGAAGGGAAATACCATCAACAGTGTATATTATAAAGCGTTATTGGAGCGTTTGAAGGCCGCCATTGCAAAGAAAAAACCGCTTATGGCAAAGAAAACAAATTGTTTCATCAAAACAACGCACCATGTTACAAGTCAATCAAAACAATGGCAAAACTACATGGGTTGAACTTCGAATTACTCCCACATCCACCATATCTACCAGATTTGGCTCCCAGCGACTACTGGCTGCGCGCAGATCTCAAAGACATGCTTATCGGTAAGAAAATTTGCTCGTATGAAGAGGCTATTGCTGAAACTGAGGCCTATTTTGCAACAAAAGATAAATAGCTCTACAAAAGTGATATTGAAATGTTAGACCGGTGCTGGAATGATTGTATGGCTCTTGATGAAAACGTTAATGAACGAAGCCAATTTTGAACAAAAAAACGCGTTTTCTTTTTCAGGCCCGGGACTTTTAGCCAAGGTTACATCCTACGGAGACATCTATGGCAAAGTCGTTTGGATTGGTAAAAAATAAACATATAACAAAATATTTTATGATATCTCAAAACAGGTTTAATTTGAAAACATTCACACATCATTTTCATTTTCCATCATCCGAAGTTCCAAATGAGTTTTTACCTAATATCAATTACACAAATCAAAAACAGCTTTTATTTTCAAGATAAAATCTGTGGTGAGTGTTATTTCAATACAAAGTTTTCACAACTCTAAAACTAACAATTCATGTGCAACTTTGAGAAACTCTAGAACCATGAGTTATTGAAATTTATAACACCGAGGTTAAAAAGTTTGCACTGTTATATTTTTCTCTGTGGGTGGCTCTACTTTCTCATCAGTCAGGACCATATTGAATTGTATGATTATAACCAAATATGTAATGATAGCTGAAAAAATTGAAGATAGACAGGATTGGTTTATATCATAAAATCCTCCTGCTGAAAACCGTGGTTTCCATTGTTCGGCATATTGCACTAGAAGTTCAAGATGTTGCCGGACTAAAGTATTTTCTACACTTTCATGGAGATTGTAGCATGTCTTGATGATCCTTTTACCACTTTGTTCTACTGATTCACATGCCATGACTAAAACTACCAGTGAAACCTGAAAAAAGTTTTGATATTGTAAAGAAGACTAACAGGAAGTTAATTAGTTGATTATGAATATTCAGATCATTCAATGTAAATATCGATGAATGTGAATTTGAGATATCTTTAATGTTTCAGGGTATCAAGATATCTACACTTAAAATCGCTCTACATTTTTTTTTGTCGTTTGTAATATTACATGTCCAGAATACCTGCATCCACATCAAAACTTATACATGGAAAAGTTCGACGATATGGAAACGTTGGGTTAATTTCAACTGAATATCGTCTGAGTCGCGCTGATAATCGTGTGTTGAAAAGTAAGCTTTCGTTAATACACAGCTCAAGCAATTTTTACTCCTGAAGGTTGTCGATCGTAAATGAATGACAATATTTTAAACACATTCAAATATCATTCACACTCAATTATCATTCACGCTCAATTATTGTTTTTGTATGATTTCGGCTCGCTGGTCCCTTCCGATCATCACAACATTCCCACGCCTCTTGATATCAATCTTGGGCTAATTAGCACCATTTGTTTGACCTGCCTATAGGTGAAGATATTGTTTTTTTTTTAATAATTTTGTTTCCAAGGTTTCTATATAGTGTGATCGTCCATATATTCCAAAGTTTTATTTTGCCGAATCAGTTGTAGCAACAATTAATTTTTTGGTCTGAATCAGCCCACTCATGCATTTCTCGTTTTTACAAAAAGTAACGTGATGCATTTTCCGGTTTTGTAAAAAGTAACGTGATGAAGTGTCTCCAATGCTGTTATTGCTGTGTGATTATATTGTTCACATTATTCGACCGAATCATACATTCATACGCTACCACGTTTCAATCACCATGTCTCATTTCAGATTCATTATGTATCTTCGTTGGAATGCATATTACTGTGAGTGCATCTGGCCAGTATCACTGTTATCTTTGCCCTACTTTTATATCAACTAAGTTCTAGGTCAATCTGTGATAGTTGCATTATTCACTTCGACATTTTTGAGGTAACAACATCATTGTCTGAGTCTTTTTGGCGAATGCTATTTGGATGGATTTCTCTTTGTTCCATCTCGTTGAAATATTGAGTACCTCTGCACCGTATTCACAGTATGTACTGCCTCAGCTGATTCATTCACGCCTCTTATTACTTTTAACCACAGCTTGTCAAATCTAGGAAGCGACTTGTAACATATCACCACCTGCGTACACTAGTGACAGAGAACGCATTAAAATAAAAGAGGATGAAATCTACCGTGCGACTTGGTGCGCCTATTTGGGTTTTAGAGTGACCGGAGAGTACAGTTCTTGCAGCAAGTAGTAATAAGGGTTGATGATTTTTCAATTGATGGTCAATTTGTCGCATACTATACTTCACCTAAGTGGACACTACAAGATTGTTGTTGAGACTGAGCTCCGATCGTCTTTGAAGGTTCTCTATCACGCGCATCTTAGGGGAGGTCCTAAGCCGAAACTTTGAAGTGCCTTCTAGATATGCCAAGGTGAACAAGAAATATCAGTTGGCATCACAACATTCTCAGTATCACACTATCAAAAGGTAGAACTCTCATCTTTTCTCATTTCGAACAAGTCTCCTGAAAACTTCTAGTGGTTGCTCATTGGAGAAAGTTGATTGGTTGGCTGAAAGATTTCAATCAACAAGATGTTGACGTTTCAGAATAGACTCATATATTGGTAATCATTGAGATCTTCCTTTACGGAGACGCCATTTATGGGATCGACAGACGACTCAAATCATGAATATCAATTATGGAAGAGACTTTCAAAGTCAAGTTTTGGCATCTATGGTCGAACAAAAATCGCCTTTTCCTGCAGTTTTTACTGCAAGTAAAGAATTTGAGACCAGAGACCAACAACAAAGCACTTTTAGTTCAATATCAGACAGAGCTGTTTCGACCTGCTATAGGTATCATTAGTGGTGCTAGGATTTGATTCCAACTAGTTGCCTTGCAGTGAAAGCTGTAGAGAAATGTGAAGACGAATCTCGTTTGACGGTCGATGTTTTCGATCCTGTACACAGCGTTTTTGTAAAACGAGATGTTCACTTTCATTTATACTTAGGTTTATCCTGAGGACCGTTGAGTTCAACAATGAATTAGCTGTTTAGCCTAACACCACTGCTGGGACCTACGGTGAAAGGAAACAGAGCTGTCTGGTACTGATTTAGGGCCTTGGTTTGATCTAATTGGAGAATCTGAGTATTTTTCTTTCAAAGTGAAAGAAGGATCTATAAACTGATCACAGTATTTCACATCAATAAAAATGCAGAGAGAGATGGAGAATGACACGTATACCATAATGAAATCAATTATATTATATTGAAGCTGAAAGCTTTGGTACTCACCAGATATGAAATCGAAACGGAAAAATTCATCATTTTCATTTTTGTATTCGTGAAGCTATCGTCGATTGCATAGGAAAAAGAGTACAGGAAATAAAAAACGATCATGCAAATGCTGTAGAATATCATTCTACCAAATAACTCATTGATTTGTGTCACAATTTCCTCAGATACTTTAAAAAGCTGGAGCATTTTCTTCATTTCAGTGACGTCTATTTCTTGGTTCTTCGAAATATATACTAAATTTTCATTCTGGTAGTTCAATCTACTTTTCATCCAGTTGGTTAATATGATATAATGAGAAATGAAAAGAACAATGTACGACTCAGTAACAAGCGTAGAAGAAACTTCCAATATATCCGATATTCCTTCCTCTTTAAAGTATGAATTAACTTGTAAACAGTAGGTCAAAATGGCCAAGAAGTATACCAGCCCAAGTTGTATGCATAGTAGATACTGTTTACCAGGTATGAAGTTGTCACAGTTACTAATCATTTTTTCAAAACTGAGCATTCCTTCAAATAGTTTCATCCAAAATTCATCTCGTCGAAATGTTGGAGTAGTTATGGAATATATCACAAAAACGAATTCAGCGGTTGTTGTCAAATATGATAGTCCTGTCATGTCAACATTAAGAGTTTCATATTCGACCAATTTTCTCTTTACAACGAAGTAAATTTGAATAATGTACAATGAAAGTAGGATACACCCTACCATTCGAGATGAAACAGGTTTCCCTGTTTTATTCTCGAGTGTAAGAGGTGTAGTGCCAAAAAACCTCCCCAGTTTGAAAATAAATCTAACGAGTTTGAAATCTTTCTGTTCAGGCCTAGAAAGTACCCGCTTTTTTGGTGAATATATTATAACAATCCTTTTCTGATTCATTTCGCTTTTGATTTTCTCACGATTCATTGTACCAATGTTGAATCGACACTACATCAATAGAGTACATACTAATGATTTTTTCATTAATTATTTTCAAATGGTATACGCTGATGATGATGACTATGCCATTAAAAACATGTATATCACTTCATTACTGATATTTATATATTCACATGGCCTAGATAATTTTGGGTGGAAAGACTAGTTATTAATTGATGAAAGAATTGGCCATCAGTTCAAAGAAGAGCATGAGAGAACATGATGAAACTGAAATTATGCCATTTTAGAACATCAATTTGAAAAGTGTCAATTTATAAGGTTTCAAAAAAGTTGATTTATAATTTTTGGGAATGGGTTGAACTATGGCTCATTTCAGTTGACAGAGAATACAATCTAGCCAGAAAAAAAACTTTCAACAAGTTGTAATATACCACCAGTGTCAGTTCTGAAGCACACAATTCATTTTTTGGTTTTCACTCATCATTTCTGCAGCCAGGAAAGAAATTTGATCATCGAAGAGAGAATTTTGAGCAGCCTCCGTTGTACCGGAATCTATTGTTCTTTCCAAGTCTTTGGCCATAACTTATGCAGATTTGTAAGTTGATCTGCGGAAGTCTGTTATACATCTTTCAGTCATTTCATAAACTACACCTTATGAAACAACAACGTTTTCCTACCGACGAAAATACTATGACAAAGCTTATCGTATGTTAGTAAATAGACATATAACAAAACACCTACTAGTCAGAAGATAAATCCAAATTTAAAACAAGACATAGGTAGAATAATAGGGGAGCCCAAGCGGGGATTTCGGGATTTACTGAAGCGCGGCAGATTAATATATAGGGGGATACCTTGTACCCTGTTAAGTACCTCCACCAAATATGAGCCCCATATATGAGGCCGCCTGTGAGAGATAAAGGATCAGATTAGTAAAAAAAATTGATCATCAGAAATTCTCGAGCGCGTCAGATTGAGGTGTGGTGAGTTAATTACCTGCTGAAAAATGTATATTCCAGTAATCTGAAAATTTGAAAGTGACGTAAAGAAAGGGGAGGGCAGCAAAGTTGTAAAAAAATAACGTCATTTCGACATTCTCGAGCGTATCTAATTTTTTTTTTATTTTGAAGGAAAATCGATTGAAATTTTTTTTTTCACTTTTAACCCTTACGTACAACCACCCACATCATGCAAACGATCAGATTAACATACCAACATTATTAAAAATACATAGGACATTGATGCTATCAATATCTGACGCACTCGAGTATGTCCATGCAACAATATTGTTTTACATAGTTAAAAATCTATAGCCGCTTCCCCCACCGATGAAAAGGTATACATTATATAACAGTTTTTTCTTTTTATCATTTAAGCTTTGCAACCTAATATGTCTCAATGACGCTCGAGTAAATCCCCATTTTGCATCGTGGGCTCCCCTGCTATAACAAAACATGAATTAGTTAGAAAATAATGAATGAAAGTACATCATTTCAAATGCTACATCAGACCGTGGTGATTACACTAACACATAATGACTTTAGTATCGCAATTGAATTCGATTTAAAATGTTTTATTAAAAAAGTCATCAATTCGTTTGGATGGCTTCAAAACTGTTGATATGTTTTCTTATCAGGCATGCAGTTTTCAATATGAATGTTGCTTCTACTGTCAGAATTGTATACTTTATTATACAAGAATCTCGACTTTTTTTCTTTACACGTGTACCGTATTGCCCGTTTTTGTTGAGCATCTTATCATTTTAATGT